AGGCATTGTAACCACTGAACAAAGCAGAGCAAGGTAATCTTAACCTCTGAGGTACCTTTTTCCAAAGGGTATTTGGACTATCTCACAAAAAAAAATGTTTCAAGAGGAATCATCTATGTGATTGGTTGCCCATAGTTGCTAACAGCAAACAAAGTTTTGAATTACGTTACTTCTAGAGTAACAAGATGAAGAAGATGAGGATTAAAACTCATTTATCTCTAATATTTTCTTTAAGACCTTGAATAAAACATGAAAATCCATTTTTTAAAAAAAATTATATGGAATATCCGTGTACTGGAAGGAGGCATTCATCAACAGTGCATTTTACAGAAGTGTTCGTGACATATTAAGTGGAAAGAAGCAGTAGAAATATTACCAAGGAAGTTGGACGTTGAATATCTAAGCATGGAATGAAGACAGTGAGCAAATACATGAAAATATTGTACCAGGCTCACAGAAGAATAGGTGACTGCTGTTTTCTCTGTAATTTTCTGTTTTTAATTTTTTTCTGTAATGTATTCCTTTTAATTAGTTTTTTAATAATAAAAGAATATGAATCCAGTGAACATTTTTAAGATACTGGATACATATTGCAAAATTGCCCTCCAGGAAAATTGTACCAGTTACACACCCACTAGCAGTGTTCATTTTCATTTCTGTATTCAGGCTAATTTTGGTTTAGTCTGCCCATGTTTCTAATCTTGTTATATCCCTTTTTATTATTTCTTTGGGGTTCCAACACCTCCCAGTTTAGTGTTCTCATTGAATTTCATTAGCAGCTGTTTCATTAGTAGCACAGGCAAAGGATTAAAGTGTTAAATAGGATAGACTTTGACAAAAACCTATAAAACTGTATGTTATTATCTTTGTATAAATCCTATTTAATCAAAGTTCCCCAGAATCTTCTCTCTGGTATTTATCTCAAGGGGTACAAGTGGCCACTGATGACATTTTAGACCCTGATACAGATGGTTCTATCTCAGTGGGAATGGCACCTTTGTGTCATATCTGGATTCTTGTCAACAAGACTAAATCAGCTTGTGATGTCATCTTCAGACCCACTCCATTGCCTCCACTCTTCAACAACCATCCAAGGGGTCTACCTCCAGTTTGTGGTGGTGGTGGTGGTGGTGGACCATTGAGTCGGAAGCGACTCATAGCCAACCCTTTGGTGGGTTTTCAGAGACAGTTAATTGCGTGAGAGGGGATTGCCTAGCCTCCCATGGAGCAGCTGGTAGATGTGAACCACACACCTTAGGATTGCAGTGCATTTTCTTGCCACTAGGCCACCAGAGCTCCTTGATTACTTGACATACACACAGAGATCTCATTTTGCAGAATATGTAGTAGAATAAAGGAGTTCTGGAAGTATAGTTTGTTTCACATTGTGCTCCTAACCCAGAGGTCAGTGGTTCAAATACAACAGCTGCTTTATGGGAGAAAGAAATTTACAGCCTGAGAAATCCATTGGAAGGTCACCTTTAGTCAGAATAAACTTGATGGTAGTGACTATAGGGTTTATTTTTATTGTTTTTCATTCCTTGAATCCCATTTAAATTGCAAAAGGGATATTACCACAGTACACTTTTGGTAAAATTGTCAAAAGTGCACCTTGCTAGTTGGTTTTTTTTAATACAAAATGCCATATATTAAATTTGGTAGATAAAGTACATAACATAATCTCAATTTTGTTATCTCTACTAATAGATGACTAATGTAAAACACTGAATGTTATGCTATAATCTTTAAAAATTGATACTTCATTTTAAAAAAATAATTAGAGAGACATTAAATGCTAACATAAATATTCACCCCACTCAGTTCCCAAGCCCGCTTCTGTTAAGGGATAATCTATAAATAATTCACGAAGCTGACATTACTCACTGTATTGTGATAATTTTTTTCTGGGAAAATTTTCGCAACTGTTCTAATACAGATTGCCAGTTACCGGTAGTTGGGAATGCAAGTCAACTTTTAATTATTCAGACCCTGATTATTCAGCCTGCAGAGTCTTCGTGCGCTGCGCTGTGCCTTCCTGCTGCCTACCTTTTAGCATTTACATTGCTCATTAGCACATCTTCCAGAAGGTGGGCTTTGGACAGGGAGGGGAAGAAGAGGTGAAAATAAAATCGGTTCAGCATTTGGGAGAAGCTCTGGCAAAAAAGATTTTAATACAATTTGTAGAACTATTGACTAAAATTGAGTCATTTGGATTCCGTATGGGTTTTATTTACTTGTTCTGTGCTTGTTTTCCAGCGCAACAGATCATAGAAGTGTCTGCGCAGAGATGACATTATCCCTGTATTTATTATTTTGCTCTATGGAACGTTTTCATGTGATGACTCATGATCTATTTTCTTTATTTCTCACATTCCTAGTTAGGCTACTTATTCCTTTGGTGAGTGGTATGTTGCGATTCTTGGCATATATGCAGTGGTACCGTAGTTACAAGATACAGGAAATTCAATCTTCTGTATAAATGAGTTTTCCAAATACTTGAAGGCTTCCCTTTAAGTACCAGTACCTTTTATGTTTCAACAAATCTTACTGGAAGCACCATTTCTCCATATGTAAATAAAGACTGTTGCTCTGTACCACTGGCTCAGAATGGACCCCTACCTTACCCTCCGGTGGGTTTTCAGAGGTAGTTAATTGCAGGGGAGGAGATTGCTCATCGTTCTCCCACAGAGCAGCTGGTGACCTTGAACCATGTGCCTTTGGGATTGCAGTGCAGCTTCTTGCCACTAGGCCACCAGAACTCCCTAATCAAAAGACAACGGAGCATAATTGAAACCTTCTGAATGCCAAGGATGTCTACACTGTGCACTTTGGGGAAAGTAGTTATTACACAAGGCCCTGTAGTTATGCTGTTAGTCTGGGAATTTCTGATTAAGCAAAATGTTACAACTGAGGTAAAACTAGAATGGCACTAGTATTTTCTTTTTCTTCAGACTGTTACTTTTATAGAAGTTTTCTCCCTTTCTCTCTCTCTTCTTGCCATTGTCAGGAAACCTACCTTTCATATTCTCTCCTCCTTACCAATTCTCTGCTTCTGGGCTGTTGTGACCTGAGAAACCAAATGAACTAGCTAGTTAGAACTCTGTCTAAAATAAGAGCAAATAGGCCTGCCTGAGAGTAAGAGAGCTCACATGGGGTGGGGAGGGGAGAACATGAGCTTTAGTGCCAAAACCACCTTGCTGTTTAGAGGCATTGTTATTCCTTCTTTGCTTATTGACGCTCAACTCCCTAAGCCCTCTGCTTCCTAAACTCCCCAACTTCATAGAGAGTTACGCTGGTAACCCAAAGGCAGTGACTCTCTAGCATTGGCTCTGTGGGGAAAAGATTGGAAGTCTTCTCTCATGTAATTTTCAGCTTCCAAAACTTGCTGGAGGATCAACCATGAGTCAGTTCCAACTCAACAGAAATTAATGTTTTGAGAGTTAAATTGCTGGTTAATTGTTTTTCAGGAGAGAGTTTGTTTGGGACGTGAAACTATTTGAATAGAGCTGGTATGAATAGTTCTTTTCAGCAAAAACTACTGTGATTGATAATCCCAGAAAGGTGGAGTGAAGGACAGAGTGACCAGGCAAATGTAAAGAGTATGATCTATCATCTCACACCCCAGTAACAATAGCAAAGTTCAACAGATCAACAAACAACAAATGCTGGTGAGGTTGTAGAGAGAGTAGAACCCTTCTTCACTGCTGGTGGGAGTGTAAAATGGTGCAAACACTGTGGAAGGCAGTATGGCGCTTTCTCAAAAAGTTGGAAATAAGGGCGCTCTGGTGGCCTAGTGGCAAGAAACTGCACCACAATCCCGAAGATATGCATTTCGAATCCACCAGATGCTCTGCTGGAGGAGGGACAATCTCTTCCTGTGCCAGTTGGATCTGATTCGACAGTACACAACAACAACAAAGTTGGAGATAGAAATACCATTCGACAAGCAATGTCACTACAGGGACTATATCCTAAAGAAACCAGAGCTGCCACCCAAACAGATATATATATACACACACACATCCATGTTTATTGTTGTTCACAGTAACAGAGAGATGGAAGCCACCCAAGTGCCCATCACAAATGAATAGATAGGAAAAACTGTTGCATAGTCACACAGTGGAATACTACAAAGCACTGAAAAACAAGGAACTTATAAAATAGTACACAACATGAGTGATCCTACAGGACATTATGCTGAGTGAAATAATCTCTGCCACAAAAGGACAAATACTGCATAACACCACTGTTATAAAATGGGACTGACATGAGAGTTGGGAGGAAACGAAGAAAATAAGGGATATATAATAAACAGTGAATTGGAACAGATGAAGGAAAGAACTGTTTAAAAGGAATATATGATTAAGCAGTCTTTGTATAACAACAGTCCAGAATAAGAGGTGCATAGCAAAGTCAACTGGGGGAGGGGGAAAGACAGGAAACTGTGCAATAAGGAATGATTTTTTTAAAAAGTGAACTGAGGGGTAGGGAGGAAAATATGCAATAGTGAATGAATGAAAATCCAACTTTTCTGTAAACTTTAAAATTACAAAAAAAAAGAATATTGATTTAAAAAAAAACAAAACCAAGTTAGATAAAAATACTTAAACTGTAAGTGTCTTTGAGAAATAATCTCAACAGGTACTTTGGTTTCTGTGTCCTTATGAGTGTTATGAAACTGGCTGACTGGCAAGCTTCCACTGGTAATTCCTTTTTTATTATTTTGTATGAATTCTAATCTTTGACTTTTTTGTGGTCTTGAAACACAAGGGTGAGGTTCCAGAATCCGGGTGGACTTTTCGTGTTTTCATCCACTTCACTTCCTGGGGACCAGGGTTTGCCATGAGTCATGTTCCATCTGATTTATATTGGATCCGACTGTGGAGCGATGACTCAGAAGGGCTTCCAGCCCAATTTCCCAGCTCATCTTCTGAGAAACGGATGGCAGGGCCAGGATGAATGTCCTGACACATCTTCCCTTTTCCCCTCTCGCACTTCAGGATCTAAAGAGAGTACTGTTACCGACCGCAAGCAGGTACGCCTTGCCACAGGCATCTTCCCTGTTGTCAGCCTCCTCAACCATTCCTGCAGCCCCAACACCAGCGTGTCCTTTGTGAGCACTGTCGCCACCATTCGGGCATCACAGAAGATCAGAAAAGGTCAAGAGATTCTCCACTGCTATGGTGAGCCATCCTTCTCCTCACTGCCCTCCTTGTGTAGCAGAACAGAGCAAGATTGAAAAAAAAAAATTACCTGGCCACTCTACAGATGCCCCTTATTTGTTTCCTAGAAAAGGTGTCATCCAGGCTGTAAAAACAGTGTGGGCATAGACACACCAGCATCCGTCCACTGGCTTCACAAGCGGGAGAATCCCCAACAACCACAAGAGCAGCCCAAAGCCAGTTGCTGTGAGCTCACACATGCGTCTCTGTGCCACACTCTAAACCTTTCCTTCTTTTTTTGACCCCAGCCATCCCCTCTTCGACACCACTTCTCTGCTGGGTTCAAGCATGTGTCACAGTGGTCCCACAGAACTTCACAGACCATCTTCCATGATTATGGAGTTTTTTAGGGAAGTAGCATTTTCAGGATCAGGAACACCTCATGACACAGTCCTTCAGTCAGGACAGCCTCTTTTCAGCCAGGAAAGCACATCCTTGTCTGGCCCGCAGCCTCTGCCCTGCTCAGGCCAATGTTACAATGCTCTTTGAGCTTTGTTGTATTTAAGTGTTAACTGGCACCCCCCTCTGCTAGTGCAGAGAGGCACTTGTCTCTAACTCTGTAGGGCAGTAAACAGCTCTCCAACAAATGCCTGGAGGTATCTGCTCCATCAGTAAGTCTCCTGCCACAGAGGAACTTGGCTCCCATGAGTCCAGAGCCCACAGCTCTGCAGCCGGTCTCTTGGTTCTGCTGCTAGAGCCTAGCCTTTTGGTGTCACCGTGCTACTCTGGCTCCTGGTTCTCAGATCCAAAGGACACACTGCACACTCTGGCTCTTCTTTCTTGATAGTATCAAGATCCTCATTTTTCCACCTGTGGCTCCTCTTAAACCCTGTGGGTTGGCAAAACACACAAATCCCCACTTTAGTTCTACACATGCTATTTGTGTGACTCTTTCCCACAGGTGCCAGTTATCATATTTACATTAAAAAAAAAACTAGCACTGTGGCAAAGTCAGTAGGGAGTTGTGTTGCTGACCCAAAAGCCGTGCCTCCCTGACAATTTGAATCCACCAACAGTTCTGAACACACCAGAGAAGGTCAGCTGTGAGTCAATGGCAACACATAAATGATCCAGTCTTCTTGGTGGGCAAAAAGTCCTCCACATTTGCATAGTCCTACCCATCCATGGATGTATTCACCAGTCTATGCCCGGGAATTTGGAGGACAGCTGCCTATCCAACTGACTGGAAGAGATCCATATTTGTTCACATTCTCAAGAAACGTAATCCAACAGAATATAAAAATTATTGAACAATATCCTTAATATCACATGCTAAAGAACTTCCAAAGTTGGCTAGAAAAGTACATTGACAGGAAACTACCAGAAGTTCAAGCTGGGTTTAGAAGAGGCCATGGCACGAGGGATATCACTGCTAATGTCAGATTGGCTGAAAGCAGAGGATACCAGAAGGATGTCTTGTTTGTGTTTTATTGAGTAGGCAAAAGCATTTGACTGTGTAGATCATAATAAATTAAGACTAAGATTGAGAAGAATGGGGAATCCTAGAATACTTAATTGTGCTCATGAAAAATCTGTATCTAGATCAAGAAACAGGAAGAGAACACTGCATGGTTTAAAATCAGGGAGGCTATGTATCAGGGTTGTATCCTTTCTCCATACCTGTTCAATCTGTATGCTGAGCAAATAATACACAAAGCTGGACTCCATAAAGAGGAGTGTGGCATCAGGATCAGAGGAAGACTTATTAACAACCTGCAGATGACACAACCTTGCTTGCCGAACTTGAGAAGGATATGAAACTCTTGCTGTAGAAAATGAAGGACCACAGCCTTCGATATGAATTGCATCTCAACATCAAGAAAACAAAGGCTGTGACCACCACAGGACCAACAGTCAACATCATGATAGATGGAGAAAGGATTGAGGCTGTCGATGATTTCATCTTGCTTGGATCAACAATCAGCCCCCTTGGTGCCAGCCGTCAGGAAATCAGGAGATGTCTTGCATTGGGCAAGTCCGCTGTCAGGGACCTATCCAACATGCTGAAGAACAGTAATAGCCATTTGAATTCTAACATGTGTCTGATTCAGGCCATGTTTTCTCAATATCTTACACATTAGAAAGCTGGACATTAATTAAGGATGACAGAAGAATTGATACCTTTGAATTGTGGTGCTGGAGAAGAGTGCTGAATGGTCCATGGACTGCCAAAAGAATAAACATCTGTGTCTTGGAAAATGTGTAACCAGAGTGCTCCTTGGAGGCATAGATGGTGAAGCTTCATTTCATACTTTGGACATGTAGCTAGGCAAGGCTGTTCCTTGGAGAGATACATCATGCTTGGAGATGGGGGGGGTCAGTGAAGGAGAAGACTTCCAATGAGATAGATCAACATGGTGACTTCAGCAATGGGAGTGTCTCAGAGATGATGAAGATGGCCCCAGGTAGGGCAGGGTTCAAATTGGCTGTTCATGGCATCGCTATGAGTCATATTTGACTTGACAGCACCTAATAACAACAGCAGCGCATCCATGAGGGAGTTCTGGTGAGGTAGTCCATCGAGAGTCAACTGCTAATCCAAAGGCCAAACCTCTTTGGCAGTTTGAATCCACCATCAGCTCTGTGGGAAAAAAGATGGACAGTCTCCACCCATGGAGTTTACCAGCCTGGAAACCCAGTGGAGGGTCACCTGTGAGTTGATTCCAACTTGATGGCAATAAGAGAGATCCAGTCATGTGATGAGTGTTACAAAGACCAGAGCTGGGAAAACTGCGTTAGTAATTCACTGCCCCCTACACAGCAAATATGACCCCATGAGCGTGACCACCTTACTAGGGCACTCTGTGCCAGCTTTTGTGCATAGTTATCGCTGCTCAGTTCCCCTTCAACTTTCTGTTCTGAAAATGAGCGAGGAACAACTTCTTGAATTTCTTCCCCTGTCCCAACAAGTAGGAAGTTTACTTCTCTGTTTACTTCCACAGAGAAGGTGCTGGGTCCTGTAAACAGTCAGTGTGCTAGACTGCTAGCAAGGAGGGGGCTAGAGCCTACCTGGAGGTGCCTTGAAAGCCAGGACTGATGTTGTCTTTTCCAAAAAATCAGCCACTGAAAACTTCTGGAGCCCAGGTCTTCCTTTACACATGTATGATGAGGTCTCCACATGAATCAGGGTTCACTCAGAGATGCCTGGTTTAGGTTCCACAAATGTGTAGGTAAAGGATCCCTACCACGTGATTACTAACTGACCAGACCCTGTGCTAAGCCGGTTTGTTCTTGTTTTAAAAGATTGTTTTGACTCTTTACCATGTTACAATACACTTTACATGTTATCTGAGAATCTCTCTCCAGGGCCTCACGAGAGCCGCATGGGTGTTGCTGAAAGGCAGCAGAAGCTGAGGACTCAGTATTTTTTTGAATGCACCTGCCCAGCTTGTGAAAAAGAGGAGCCCCACACAGCTGCAGCACCCAGGTGGGAGGCGTTCTGTTGTCGCTCCTGCGGAGCCCTCATGCAGGTAAGTCTGGGCTCCCTTCTCTCCTCCCCATTTCCTGGAGGCCAGTTAGCCCGAGTTACAGATCAGCAGGAGGGATCTCAGGCTTACAGTTGCTGAGGGCAGTAATATTACTGCCCTTTCAGCCTGTCTTCCCCACACATCAATTATTCCTCCAAAGGAATAGCAGAGAAAGGTTCAATTTAGTCATCTTTCACGTGTGCAAATGACAGACAAATCCCTTAAACTAGTTTAAGGGTTTAGAGGAAAGACTGGGAATGTGTTTGCTCAAATAGGTCACTGAAGTGTCCCAAGGCAAGGCTACTTCAGATACCAATTGATTCAGAGGCTCGGATAATGTACCAGGACCCTATTTTTCTCTTAATTCTCCCCTCTCTTTTTTTCTCCATTAGTCCCATCCTGAGACATGTCCCTCTTGTAGCAAGATGGCTGCCAGCAGCTCAGCCTTACCGCCTTCCTGTCCAGGAAGAGAACACATTCACCACTCTTCTGACAGGCTAGGAGGAAATCGTATTTTGTTTCATTAGCCAATACGACTGGTTGGGGGAAAAAATCACAATCGCATCCTTTCTTCCAGCCATTTGCACAGGTAGATGAACAACAGGTCCACGGCACTAACTGGGAGAGGACCCTCAAGAGAAACCCATTCCTGTTGTCAAATGAGGCCACAAATACTGGCAAATGCCAGCCCACCTCAGAGATTTCCTCTCCTGCTGGGAGATACAGTATTCTTCCTAGGATCTAGTGAGTCTAATTAGAGCTGGTTGTGTTGAAAGATAAATTGTAAACCTAAGGTCCAATGTGGGGAGATCACACCCAGCTTTGGGGTTTTTGTTGTTGTTGTTGCTTTTCTGATGGCTTTTTCATAACCTCTAGAAATATGTCTGTCATTCAAAATCCTGGCCCCAAAGAGAGATAAGAAGGGGGACACAGAGATGGAATGAAATTAGGGACCATATCAGTCTGGTCCCGAAAATGAAATCTCAGGGTGGGATCTGGCTGCTGCTCTCATCAGTGCTGCTGCTGTCAAACCACATTTTCAGTCAGGGTGTTTTTCCAGTCATGATGTATTACAAGAGTGTCTTTCCCCCATAGGGTCAGAAACTGTGGCGCAGTCCTGTAATGTAAGCACACACACTGTTGATAACTGACTGAGTTATCTGAATGAAGATAACTGATTTCTTCCACAGGGAGATGCTGTGCTGAGCTGCAGCAGCGGATCTTGTACGGAGTCAGTCAGGAGAGCTCACCTGGTCTCTCAGTTACAGGACCTTCAGCAGCAGGTCGAGGTGGCCAAGAAGATTCTCAGAAACGGTAAACTAGGTGAGATGGCGCCTGCTTGAGTCCTCCAGCCCCTTCCTATTGACTCATTCCAGGATCATCTTGAGCTCTAGGAGACTCAGGAATGACTGAAGAACGGAATTTAATTATCCCCATGCCAGCCACAAGATGGCTGTGTAGTCCACTGAGACGTAAAGCAGCCCAGTTGGTGTAGCAGATGATTTAAACTGTTCTCCTGTACATCAGCCAAGTGTAAGTCCACACACATAGACAGACACACACACACACGCACGCACGTACGTACCCTCGTGTGTTATCTATCACATCTATATGCTTACAGCAGTTCCACAAGTTCATTTCTTTTCATTACAGGGCCTCATGATCTAACTTCCTGGAGAGGTTGATCAGCCCTCTTCAGAGCCAGGCCAGAGGGCAATGGGTCATGTGTCCAGTGGATATGAACATCCTGCTCTTTTTTTTTTTTTTTTGCTTTCTTCCTTGCTTGACAGTGAGTTCTAGAACTCCCCATTACCCTGGCAGTTCTGCCTTGGAGCTAGCTTCATAGGAGTTTATTTACTTTATGAAACTTGACCTTTAGCTTCGATTTCAGAGTCAAGAGAAATAATAACCATAAGTGGGGTGTTGAGCCAGCTGTGTTGAAAAGCTGAAGTTGCAAACCCAAGGTCAAATGTGGGGAGACCTCAGCTGGCATCTTTTTCTATTGCGAAAAAAAATAAACACAGAGGAGATGTAAGAGAGACAGCTTTATTGGAACACGGAGAGGCAGCATTGTGGATTGGCTTTAATCCAGGGGGACCAGAGGGGAGCCTCAGTTCAGCCTGATTAATGTCGAGCTTGAGGCATCGGCCCACATCTGTAGGATGGTGTTTTTGTCTGTAATGAAGCCATTTCCTTTTCCGATGTTAGAACAAGCCATCCAGCATCTGTGGAGATGTCAGCGTGAAGCGGAGAGCTTCCTGTCGGCGCACCACACCGTGGTAGGAGAGATTGAGGACGGGCTGGCCCGGGCCTATGCCGCATTAGGTATGCCGCGTAGTTTCATTTTTCCGATGTGAGGAACTGATCTACTTTGTGTGTTTTACCACAACCCTGGCTTTGGCTAGTTAGGGATCTCAGTCTTTAAACATTAGACTATCAATCTTCCATTCAGCTTCCCTCACCCTGACAGTGTTCAGGCATAGAGTATGTATACTTGTCTTCCTGGAACAAGACCTTTTTTTCTTCACAGGCAACTGGCACAAGTCAGCCTCCCACCTTCAGAAGAGCCTCCTGGTGGTGGAAGCGCGCCATGGGCCGTCCAGCATTGAAATGGGCCAGGAGCTCTTCAAGCTGGCCCAGGTCCTCTTCAATGGGTACGTCACTCTCGTTCCTGGCACATCCAGGACAGCATGGGCTCTCTGCCTTTTAGTAGCTCCTTCATGGGCTTCTCTTTTTCTTGGGCTTTTAAGCATATTGAAACTTTATTCCCCCTTTAGGAGAGATATTTGCCTTTCATTGTTTGCTTGTTTAAACAAACTGCAAGCTCTGGAATTTCTTCCTGAGAAATACAGGGAAAGCTCTTAGCTCTGAAGGAGTCTCCCAGGGAGAAGCTGCCACGCAGCCCTCACCCACCTTGTTAGCATTCCTGCTCGTTCCTCTCTAGTTAATCACACCTCTTGGAGCCTCTTATCCTCTGCACTCACATCTCTAGTTTCCTCCCTCTAGTCAGCTTTCAAGGCAGTGGTTTCCAACTAGGGGTGATGTTTTGCCTCCTGCTCCAGGAGATGTGTGACAGTATTGGGAGCCATTTAGATTGTCATGACTACGAAAGGGGAAGAGGCTCCTGTCATTTAGTAGGTGACTGCCAGGGAGGCTGTTAAACACCTACAATTCACAGGCAGCCTCCAGAAGATAACCTGAGTGACCCCAAATGTCTGAAGCATCAGGGTTGGGGAAACTCTGATTTAAAGGTTGAAAGGGAAAGTAGGTTGAGGACACCTCTTGCACTTTTTCTGTTGAGATCATTGTGGGATCCTAATTGCTGCAACCTCCCATCTTGATAAAACCTGAGCTGGTGTGGGACTGAGTGTTTGAAGTTTCCAGCTAAGCTAGGAATGGCACGTGGACCCAATTCCTGAGACACAGAGGCAGAGATAGAGCTGAGGACTGCAGAACTAGGTCAGCAGCAGATATCATCCCAGTATGGGGGTGCTGGTTTTCTGATGCACCACTTGGGCTGGTAGCGCAGCTCCTTGCCACTAGTCCAGCAAAGCATCATCTGAGATGTATACTCCCCGCGTAAATCTCAGGGTAGATATCAGATTAAAATGTCAAGATTTCCGTGTTTCTCTGGATCCTGGAATTTTTATACTCTTTTTTTATATATATACTTTTTTTTCCCCCTAAAACTCTGCTTTGGAGTATATCTGTGAATGTGATAACTACCTTTCCAAACTCTAAGATCCTCAAGGCTGGATGTGGTCCTGTATAACCGGACATTATTTGAGGTGTGTGAGCAGCCATTGGCTCTTTACGTTATTGAATGAGTAACTCCACTTGCCTCCTTTGCTTCAGGTTTGCAGTACCTGAAGCTCTGAACGCAATACAAAAGGCAGAGGAGGTTCTGTCTGTTCACTCTGGCCCTTGGAGTGAGGAGATCCAGGAGCTGCAAAAGATGAAATCCTGTTTGTTGGACTTGCCATCCATCCCTGTGAGGCCTTGAGGATAGGGCCCCCAGGGGACTGTGGCGCACAAGAAACAAGCCCCTGGAAGCGGCTCTGTGCAGCTGAGCTGTCACCAGGAAGTACAGGACTTGTCCAGAAGCCTCATTTATGAGGACAGGGAGGGACTCGGAAAGTGCTTCGGCCAGAAAGAGACGCTCACCTGTATTGATGGATGTGTCTTCACGATGGATGTTGACTGCCCTCTGCTAAAAACCCTTAGTTTCCTGGAAATAGTTAAAACCAGTATCTGGAAAATCCAATACCTTTAGAGGCTGTTTGTTAGCTGATCTGCAGGCATCTGGGTGTTAGCGGTGGGTTTTGGCTGGATTCCACTTCACTCAATGATGATAGTCCTTTTCCCTGGAACATTCTTATGGTTTCTGGTAGTAATGAAATGCTGTGTACCACTCTAGGGGAAACTTAAACTCTTAGTAGTTGCATTGTAATTGAAAAATAATTATAAAGCAAGAAATCAGAGAGGCTCCTTACCTCTAGAGACAAACACACAGTTTCACTTATGGTATCCTACCTCCTTGAATCCTTTGTTTAAACTAAGGGAGTATAAATTGTGAATAATGTGGTGTCATTTGATTGCTGGTCCTTTTCTTCCTGGGATGGCAACTCTAAGTTTGCGCTTCAGTGGTTTTCCAGCTATTATCTTATAACTTTTCCTACTCTTGGCACACTCACTGATCACTCACAAAATCTAACTCATAGTAATGACTTTACAACACATGTGCTTCCTGTCCGAGTTTGTTGTTATTGTTGTTGAGTTGGAACTGATCCATACCTGACCCTCCAGTGGGTCTTCAGAGGCTTTAAATCACATGGGAGTTGATTGTTCAACTTTCTCCCGGGAAGCACCTGGTGGATTTGAACCACATACTTTTGTCTTGGCAGTGCCGTTCCTTACCATTAAGTCACCAGAGCTCCCTAAAAAGAGACTCTATTTCCTGTCAGTTATCCTCAAGTTGGCAAATGAAACACAGACTGCATTAGTGCTGAGAAAGGGTGCAGGGGAGGAAGCTTCAGGAGATGCTAAGGGTGCGGGCAGTGTGCTCATCATTTAAATTTTTTGAGGCAGAGGATCAGGGTGCTAGCTCCCTTCCACTTGCTTGTGTAGTGATAGGCAGACCCCATCTCAATCCAAGGGCAGTGGTGGTGCTGAGGTAACATTCTTGTTTTCTGTGCTGTAGCTCCAGGTTCGATCCCTGGCCAGTCCACCTCAAGCATAGCCACCACTCCCCTCTCTGTCATTGGAGGCTTGTGAGCTGCACAGATAGTAAACAGGCTTCAACAGAGCTCCAAACTAAGACTAAGAAAGAAGCCCTGTGGTTCCACTTCTAGAGGTTGGCCAGAGGAAGCCTTGTGGATCACAGTCCCATCTCGTGTGTGGAGTCACCAGGAGTGAGAGGCCACATCAGTGCCAACTACCAACATCTGTCTGTCGGGCTCCATCCCGCAGAGGTCAGGAGACTCCTTGGCTCCACAATGCCGCTGCTGGACCACCACTGGTGACCAAATGTTCACGTGAGCCCGTGGGAAGAGTGCCAGACTGCCCCGCTGTGAGAACATGCCTGCCAAGCCGTGCCTGAGAAGCCCCAGTGGGTTGCCATGGCTTTCTAATCAGGGAATGAATAACCCTGACGGCACTTGACAGTAGATCTTTCAAGAAGCTGGGGGTTTGGAATGCAAGTCTCAAAGTCACTGAATGAAGGACAGATTTCATGGATCCTTTCTACAAACTCACGATGAAGTTTCTGATCTACTAACTGATTGTAGACCACAGTAACCAATGAGGCTGTTTGTACAGCTCACTTTTTGGGGGGGGGAGAAAAAAATTAATTCTGTGAACAAATTCTGTAGTAATTCTGTTCTAAACATTTGGCATATCTTTTTTTTTTTTTAACATTTGGCATATCTTATGTTGCCAAAAAAAGACTCTATGGTTCTTTGTAAAACAGGCTTACTTTCTTAAACAGAATGTTTATATATCAGATCCTGCCTTACTTGTGCTTGAGAACTTTCCTTAAATGCTTTAGAAAGTAATTCTTTCCTAAAGCAGTAAATTACCTCACTTATCTGTCTTTGTGTCATCATCTCATGCAAGGTTACTTGACTTCGGAATAATCTGCAAACACATTCCAGTGAAGGTGGCAGTAAAGATACCCAGTAAAGGGTTATGTATATGTAGATAATTTAAAGTTCTTGTAAATGTACCTTTCTGCAGAAATTACATAAAGCCAGGCTATGGGACCAACATATTCCTAAATGGCAGTATGACTTCATATCAAATTTACATAGCTCAGAAAAGGAGAAAGGAGTAAGGTAACAAAAGTTAAGGATAAAGCTCTTTTATTGCAAAGTATACATTGAAACATTATAGGGGCAGCTTTTGTAGAAAGCATAACTGGCCGTCCCTCTGGACTTATTTTCTTATAGGGAATTTGAACATTAAACTGGAGCATTAAGTGCCCCTGGGGTCCAGAATTTTGCCTATGAATAGAAGGGCCCCTGTGTCCGTGTCCCTCAGTACAAAGATGAAAGGCTGATTAAGGTGGTAGTCCAGGGGGAAGGTGAGGCGGGCAGGCTGGAGGCCAGGGCTGGGGGTGGTTCCTGCCCCATCCTCATTCCACTCAAAACCAGCCCGGTGTTCCACCTGAGTAAGCTTGATTGACTTGCCTGTGATTTTGCTGAAGTCTGGCGTTTCGAACAAAGACTGGAGCTCTGCAGACGTGGAGAGAGATTTCTGTTAAAACCTGGCCTTACTGTAAACCCCAAGAAGGAAGCAGTCCTGATCTCAAAGGAAGAGAGCAGGCTGGAAGTGGAGCCCAACTTCCAGTGCTTTCCAAGAGGTGAGCTCTGGTCACCTAATCCATAGGGAGCTACACTGTTCACCCAAAGGCAGCCTCTCTGGCAGTTCAAATCCACCAGGGTTTCAGGGAAGAGAGACGGGCAGTCTCCTTCCAGGCAATTACAACCTCCAAAAACCAGATGGAGGGGTCAGCTTTGAGTAGGTGGTAAAGAGGAAAAGTTTGATGGGGTTTAAGTCCCTGAGAGCATATAGCACTAAGATTAAGATTGGAAGCTGGTCTGACACTTAACTAGAGAAGCAATATCCTTAGCTCCTTCTATATAGGCTGAATCCTGCACCCTCCTGCAGGGTGTTTGCTCATGGAGCTCAGAAATGGATGTTAAAAGGAAGGTACCTGAGTCTTTTCTCTCTAACACTTTAGATTAAGGAACCATCCCAGGCCTCCCAGCACCACCAAGGAGTTCATGACCGATTTGTCCTCTCCTCCCATCCAGCAGATGGGTCTTGCAGACTTACTCATCTCCTGCAGGGACTTGGTGACTTCGCCTTCATAACTTAGCTTCAGCTTAGGGATAGTCAGAACTGCTTGGACAGTCTTCAGTTCTCGGTCTATGTCATGAATGAACTCAGAGGTGAGGCTCTCTTCTATGAGGGTCAAGTTCTGGGTTACTTTCTGGGGCAGGAAGAAGATTATACTCGTGCTTCCAGTCAGGGGCAGCTGGGCAATCTGAAACAAGGAGGGGGCACATGTGTGAGCCCGTTAGAGCCCAAGGGCCTGGGGGTAGACACAAAAGAACTGCCACCTGTCCCAGGGTGGGGCCCTGGCTCCTGCTTCCCCTCAGCCCCTTACCTCTTTTAGAAATTGCCTCTATAGGATTTTACTTTCTGACAATATGTCATTCCCTGCTGTTCCCTCAAAAAGCCTACTCTTGCCTTTTGTTACTCCAGCCTAATGCCAGCTGAAGTTGAATTGACCTACTGCTGATTCTAAGGAGTTAGGATTGAAGCCCAGAGCTGGGTTTTCTCCCAAGGTCAGTCTACCAGAGTTTACTAATCATCTGTTATGTACAGAGCACTGGACTGGAAATGAGGGTTTGGGGTACCAAAGCAGCAATAAAATTGGTCCTTGGACAGAGTGTCTTAACCTAAAGTCCATGAAATGAATGGCCTCGGGGATCTCTAGAGCCTCCCTTCCCCCAAACCATATGCAGAAATGTTGTGCATAAGCACACAGCAGTTGTCTAGAGAGTTCCAGAAGCTTTTATCAGAGATCATGGCTTGGCTTTGAGATGAAAGAATTTAGATAACACACAAAAGACATAATTCCAGCTGTTGAAAATTAGAGCCTGTGACAATCTAATATTTACCTTTTCGTTTTATAAATAAATAGCCTCTAATAAAAGGGAAGAAAAAGTAGAAAAGAATGCTAACATTTTGGAGTCTATACTATATAGTTGAGTGATCACAAACTACACCTTCTAGATACTTAGAATGTTCATATATGATCCCCAAACCCATTCCCATCACTGTTTACAGCTGTTAGGTGCCATTGAGCAGACTACAGCTCATAGCTCCTAGATGCTCAGACTTCATCCCTGTTCCTATTTCTCATGAATCCATAACTACCTCCCCCGCCCCCTAGCTGAAGAAGAAAGGCTCAGAGACATTATTAGCTTGCTCACAGTCACACACCTGTGTGATCTCAAAGCTCAGTGTGTTTCTTCCACAGCATTCTGCCTTGTCCTCTCCCCCCCTCACGCACCCTTTGCCCACTACAGACCTTGCAGTTGAGGTCAGAATCCAAGCCGTAGCGTAAAATGGCCTTAGGGTCTGACATCATGGGGACTCTCACAGTCCTCTCTTCATCCAAGTGGAAATCCTCCAGGGAAGTCTTTCTGGAATCAAACTTTGTTACCCACTGCCCTGGAATGAAATAAATGGAGTGGCCTGAGCCCAGAAGACCAAAAAGGTAGGGGGACCTCACTGTTGGTGAAAATTGTCTCACTAAAGGAATCTCATCTGTGCTGCCACGTTAGGCAGTGGCTCCATCTCAAAATGTGTGATCTGGATCACAGTGAAATAGGTTAATTGTATTGATTTCACTCTGGATTCACCTGTGAGAGGGTTAATGGGAGTCAGAATCAAAGGATGGCAGAGGGAGGAAGGGATTTCGGGCATCACATGATCACCCCTCTCATCTGACAGCTGAGAAAGCCACAGCCCAAAGAGGTGAAGTGGCTGGAGCGCTGATGGCCATTTCCTTCAGCGTGGCCTTCAGACTGCTCTGTAGCTGCTGCTGCTGTGATCACTGGAAATCAGTGTTTCAAGGAGAAAAACATTTGGCTTTTCTCTAGCTTAGGGGGAGGATGTCCCCACAGCCAGCGAGAGCCTTGTCTAAATGAGGCTGTTAGGAATCGAAAGCTGTGATCTCTGGGCACATCACTGAAGCTGGAAGAGTAGTGTTAGAGAACTAGCTGCAGTTTCCTTTTTTTTTTTCCTTCAGTAGAGAAAAGAAGTTTACTTAAGCAAAGAGCACCCCATTAGGGTTCTAAGAGGTTCCCACGCCTGGCTAGCAAAGATAATGGCAGAAAGACAGACAGTTAAAAAGCATCAAAGAGCGAGATGTTCTCAGAGGGAGGAGAGTGGGTCCCACCCTCACGGGATGAGGGGAGGAGACCCAGCAGCAGGTTTTTTGAGCCTTGACTGAGTCCCAGGCACAGAATTGGGTTACAGTAAAGCCGAGGGACAACATAGAGAAAATGCCTAAGAAGCAGGTGTATATTATCCCCACTTTTGAGATGAGCAAACAGACCCAGAAAGTTGGTAATAATTGTTCAAGGTCCCACAGCTCATCAAGGCACAACTGGGACTAGAAAACCTTGTATGACTCCAAAGCCAGAACTCTAACCGGGTGCCTGGCCCCCTGTGGGTCCTCACGGATACCCTCCCTGTGCTCTGTGACTTTCTCCACCAGCCACTTAGACTTGGTAGACTCTCATCAAACGTTTGCTGATTTATTAGATCTGGTGACAGGCAGGTCTCTGGGAGGTGAGTGTGTTTCTCCTGCTGCTCTGGCTTTGCCCCTTCACTCAGGTAGGGTGTTGGTACAGTACTGGTCAGCCAAGGTATTGGCCTCCTCCTCTTGCCCAGCTCTCTAATGGCTGCTGCCTGCCTGAAGCCTCAAGAGTGGGCCAGCGCTCACCCTTGAAGTAAGCCACACCAAGAAGGAGAATGCTGATTTCACTGGGCATTTCCCTTGTGGACCGAGCAATCTTCCCCTTCATCTGGGCCTGCACCCAGTTGTTAATCTCCTGGGAATCCAAGCGAGGGTTGCCGGTCAGGATTCTGGGCCGGGTCCCATACGACTTTTCCAGAGGTGCCACAAAGCTTGATTTTATCCGCATCTCTGGGAAGAGGTAAAACGAAGGTTAGTGTATCATCCTCCGTTTGAGAGTGTGCCAGGCTCAGGCCCTGCTTGACTACTCAGCAGGCCCTGACTTCCTGTCCAGCCCCTGCCCAGGATTTAATGCTGAACCTTCATGCCAGCTTCCCTAGGCACTGGACAAGGAACAACAGATTTCATTTACTGCTGTTGTTCTTCACCGTACTGCCCTCTCCCTCCTCCTCCCACTTCCTCTTGCTGATCCTGTTTGGACTCCAGGTGGGCCCCTTCCTGGAGCATTAAACCTCCCACTCTCTTTAAGCAGCCCAGGGGAGGAAGACCACTCACTCCTCTCAAAGACAATCCTGGAAGCACTCTTGAGATTCTTCTGGGGGGCAGTGACAGTGGCAAGGAGTTCCTTGTAGGTGGCATGAAGGTCTGGGTTGTTGATCAGGTCATAATAGAGGGCCCGGTGGATGATGGATTCTGTTCGCTGCTCCGCTCCTGCCCAAAAGACAAGGTCTTGAGCCTGGTGACTGCCCGCTGTGGCCCAGTTCTCCCTCTCTGCTGAGAGCGACCCTGACTAGAGACACTTGAGGTGGGGCAAGGAGTTTGAAGGCTTTGGAGGAAATATTAACTCTAGTCTCAAAGTCTCACCCAGAGAGAAAGGATGGGAGGGAGGGGTCCAATCCACCAGTTCTTTTCTCATTACAGCATTCACAAGACTATTTTGTGATTACATGTTTGTTTCCCCTGGGACCCCAACAGCATGCAACCCTGGTGAGGGTAGAGACCGGCTTTCTTCACATGTGGTTACATTCCCAGGACCTAGCTGGATGGCTGGCATGTGGTCAAAGCTGATTTAAGGAATGAATGAATAAGTGTTGACGTCACACATCACGTAAGTGGTCCCCAGGGCCACATGCCGACATCTGCAGTTCTCAGCCCCTTCCACAGCCCTCCTTGGGGCCATCCCTCAGTGCCTCTTTCCCCTTCCCTGAGGCTAAAGGTCTCAAGAACCCACAGAGCCACATGTGTGACTTAAGCACTGTCACGGCTCCAGGCTTCTGGGGCTCTCCATGTGTGAGCACTCACCCAGTGACAGGGCCGACAGGGCCGTGGCCACACTGAGCGGAGACAGGAGCACGTTGGCAGCTGGGCTCGAGCTGGATCTGACACGGTAAAGGTCGTAGCCAAAATTGGAGATGGCGGCCGCCAGCTTGTTGACAGGCACCTTAAAAAAGGGATCCTCCTCCTCCACTGGCATCCCTGTAGTGTCGGGGGCTGGGGAACCCTGGTGGGAGACAGGCAGGCCTGGGTTGAGTACAGGAACCAGTGGAAATGGACTGTGACTAGCACATTAGGACGCTGTTAGTGGGGTTGTAGTCTGGCCTGTCCTTCCTGATTACAGTGAGCTGGCCAACGCTGGAAGGAGCTGTGTTCCCCAATCGAGCAGGAGCTGTCTGCTGGGGAGATGCAGCCCCAGAGAGAGATTATCTGGCCAGGTTTAAACATTTGTGACCTTGCTTACTGCTTCCAGTTCTCTGCTCTCCCTCCATCAAAACTTCCTTCTTTTTCTTGGTCCTAATCATATGTTACCTCCTCCATCAGATTTTCCTGATCACCCCAATCTGAAGGGCCTTGTGGTTTTCTCAGAGTCCTCTACCACTTCTTAGCCACTTGCTCCATGGCAGGCTCCGTGTTGGCCTTTCCCGTCTGAGTTGCTTCATCTCAGGTTTGTTGATCTGCTTGTCTGAGACCCCAAGAGACTGGGTTCCTTGAAGGTAAAAAGGGAGCCTTTTCTGTTTTGCTTATCCCCTGCCCTAGCCAAAGTGCTCAATGGATGAGAAAAAAAGTGAATGGGCTTGGCTGCAGTGGCCTGTGAAGATGATGTTCCGCCTCTCCTCTCCTACCTCCTGTCTTATTAACCCACATTTGCATTTATAGCAACAGTAAAACATCCACTGTGTATTCTGCACAGTCACAGCAACATGTCTGAGAACAGTGGACACCGAGGCCCTGGACAAGAGTAATCCTGGCAGTGAAGGTTAAGTTGCTTGTCAAATCGGCTGGCTCTCATTCTCAGTGGTTTGACAGGTAAAGAATGACATGATTTGGCAGTTTTGTAATGATGTCACCTTTTTTTGGAAGTTACTCTCTATTGTGTGATCTGAAAGGGTCATCGTCCATTTTCACATAATGCAGATTTTTTTGTGTAATAGCTCAGTCTTTAGAATCTAACCATGTCAATGAGTGAGGAGTGGGATTTTTCATTTCCAATGTTGTGGTTGAGAGAAAAAGTAACTTAGAGCCTAAGATCACAAAGCAAGTGGAGAAGTAGAGCCAGAATTCAAACTGAGAGCTCAAGGCAAAGTCCAAGACTCCCAGCTGCCCTAGTTCCTCATGTGACAGTGACACACACCCCTCATTGTCACATAGCACCTCTATGTCTGAATCTGCCTCCATGCACACCTAGGCCTCTGTCTCCTTGGGCAGGGAAAAGGCCTGTCCCATCCCCTTTACAGCCTCTCCTGCACCCACATTAGTGTCAGATACTGCCACTAGATAAGGTCCTATGAGAGGGCAAGATGACACAGGTCCTCACTGAAGAGCCAGCCTAGGACCTTGAAAGTGCTCTGGCTTTGTATGATTCTGAGATTGACTTTTGTCCCCACCATGCTTCCTGAAAGGCCAGGCAAGATATGCTCTGTTTTGCTGACAAGAGTCACCCAGGCCTCAGATGCACAGCCTGAAACCTGGGTGTGGGTGCCTGACTTCCCGTCCCATCTCCTCTGGAGGGGTTGAAGCTGCCACAGCTGCCCTGCCCCACCCACTGACCTCCTCCAGGCTCCCACCAGCATTCTGGGAACTAGCTTGGCCGAGGAGGGCTCCAGTACAGATGAGCAGCATGAGTGCCTGCATCCTGGACCTGCGAGAGAAGCGAGAGGTGGTCACTGCTCCCTCCCCTACCAGCCTGTCCATAGCTGGCCCACCCTGGGTGCAGAGCCAACACTTCCAGGCTTCGGCATGTCTTCCAGCCTCCCAGCTTTGAATGAACCCTCAGCTTCACTGTCCCTTCCTCTCAGCAGCATCCTTCCCATCCCCACATGCTCATACCATCAGCTGGTGCTTTCATCTCATTGTCTGTATCAGGAGTCCCACCCTCCAGCCTAAAGCCCAGAGTAGAGGTGGACTCACAGGGAGCGTGGCCTGGCACACATACATGAACAGACTTTTCCCTGGAGGGCCCTTAACAGACCTGGGGGCTGTGTCTATAGTCACCCAGGTCTCATAAGTACAATCATTGAATGCCAAGCATAGAGCAGTTGAAATTGTGAGCTCTCCTTAAGTTCTAATGACCATGAACTTGGGCCTCCACTTCCTTCACTCTTGTCATCTAGTCGGAACTGACTCATTAGTTGACCTTCCAGAGGGTTTTCAGAGGCTGTGAATCTTTTGGGAGGAGAGTCCCCAACTTTCTTCCACAGAGCAATTAGTGGATTTGAACAATCAGTCATAGGGCTGGCAGTGCAACTCCTTACCCACTAGGCCACAGAGATCCCTTGTGGCCTCCTAAGGGAGTATATTCCCCTCTCAGCAATTCTGTGTCAGGACCTCTTATTAAAGATACAAGGTCTAGGGGAAGATGCCTGCATCTAAATCTCAGTTTTGTCCCTTAAAAACTTTCTAAATCTCCCATTTTTTCTGCTGCACAAAATAGAAATAAAGCTACTTATCTTTTGTTATGAGAATTAGATAATACCTTAAGAGCGCTTACCTGTGCTTGAGACTGGTAAGCTCTCAGATGACCTCTCAGTGAAAATGGTTCCTTGTATCTTGGATTCTTTGGTCCGGTTCCCCACCACCACCCCGTCCCCTCCTTCAGAAAATAGCTCTTGAGTCCTTAGAGCCTTCTAAACAATCTCATTTCTCAGTAAGACAACCCACCTCCTAATAATGCCTTCCTCTGCCCAGGCTCTGAGCTGGCATTTAGGCCACAAGGTAAAAAACTCAAATCTGGATCTAGGTTTTCATCTGCTACAGCAGTCCTTACCCTCTGTGTTTGCCTCATCTGTAAGCTTACCCTGGAGTTGGGATCTGGGGTGAGCGAGGACCCAGCTAACCCAAGAGATCCAGATAGGACCCTGTGACAAGACTTTTAGTTACAAAATAGGACAATTATTCAGCATCTAGGACTTCTGCCTGGTCCATGTTCCATATTGCCAAGTTTAGAACTTACAATCTAAACTACTTTGTCTTGCTTTGCCCCAGCAACACACATAGATACACACTGAAGCCTTGAGTTCCTTGAATACCCTGTCTAGACACACCTGCACATGCACACAGCACACACAGGCTGGCCACTGCTTGGTCCCCTGCAGTATTATATACACACACATGCACGTGCGGGCATGTACAGTTTGCCAGTGGTTTCTTGATTTCTCTCTTTTTTTTTTTAACTTTTTATTGTGATTTGGGTGAAAGGTGATACTCTTTCAATATCCTTTCCACACACACACTTTTCTTACTTCCCAGAACAAACTGGATCAGGAAAGTTGGGAATCAAGGGTGTGACTTTCGGCTATAGTCTTTACAATGAAGTCTGATAACCCACTGGACGGCATTGTAAAGCATGAGCGGCAACACAGAAATCGCCTCCGGAGTTTGCTCAGCTTCAGGCTGGACACTCATCTGGAGCTGGCGTTGCAGAGCTGCGGTTCTCCGCCAGCTGCTCTTTCTTGTGGCTGCCTCTCTGCCACTCTGGGCTAAAGCTCCCTTGGAGACAACAGGAAAAGCCTTCTGCTCTCAAAATAGAGACCTTTCACACTAGCCAGGCTCTCGGCTGCCCTCCACCCAGCCAGCCCCACCCAGCGTTGGCAGAACCTCCCAGCACTGAACCTCTGCAGGCAGGTCTGCAGGGACCCAAATCCTGGGAGGCAGCCCACTCTGTAGGCAGTTGCACCTACTAAGCCAAAGGGGGCGCCTCTGGCAGTGGGAATCCACCAGCAGCTCCACAGGGAAAAGATGGCTTCTCTTCCTGTGCAACTTACTCTCTGAAAACTGGCTGGAGAGCCAGCTATGTTGTTGTTACGTTCCATTGAGTCCTAGCTGACCCTCCAGTGGGTATTCGGAGACAGTAAATCACACCGAAGAAGGAGATTGCCCATTTTTCTCCCATGGAGCAGCTGATGGATTCAAACTGCGTGTCTTTGGGTTGGTAGCACAACTCTTTGCCAGAGCTCTCTAGGTCAGCTATGTGTCATTTCAACTTGATGGCAATAAGTTTGAAGGGAGTTTTTTTGTTTTGTTTTTAATCCTGTGGAAGTGAGACTAGAGGAAAAGCAGTTAGTGTTGTGGCATCTGTGGGGGTGAGGAGGGTGTAGAAAAGATGAGGAATCCTGTGTAAGGAGACTAAGTTCACAGTTAAGATGCACTTGAAGATGGTGCTTCTTGAGTCCCGGATTAAGATCATGTGATTGGTCACTGTCACTTAGCAGATGGGCTGAAGATGAGGGGAGTAAACCTGATGGGGAAAGACACATAGGTCCAAAGCTGATGCAGGACTAGCCATGGGGATACACTTCTTTGACCCTGCAGTCTTAGAGAAGAGGGAAGTAAAAACCCTATAAAGTCAGTGAGAGGGCAGAGAACAGGGCCACATGGATGCCTCCTCTGAGCACTCTTGGAATGGAGTTGGTGTCCTCGGCCTGGGCAGGTCACCACAGGCTGGCCAGAGATGAGGGCAGTGGTGTCGTCCTGTCCAAAGGGCAGTACCCACACCAGACTGTCTGCCCCGTGGGAGACCGTGTGGGGAGGAGGCAGATACCCTCCCTCTCAGGCCAAGGTCTGGCCTTACTAACTGCTGTACTGCCCAAATCAAGACCAAACCCCACCCCACCCCCACTGTCCAGATGATCCCATCGCATCAGGACCCTGTAGTGCAGGTTTTCCAAGGCTTTAAATCTTCATGGAGCTGACTGCCTCATCTTTTCCCCTGTAAAGTAGCTGAGCTGGTGGATTCTAACCACCAGCCTTTCCATTAGCATCCAAGCACTTGAAGACTGTGCCACTAGGGATTCCAGAGAGAAAGAAAGGTGCTGAGAGTTTGTGACTTTGCCTTCAAGCTAGGAGGAAGCGTTCAGAGCCAATGCATGTGTTTCAGATTAAACCCTGTGTCAGACAAACACTGTCCCTCCACCTCCTCCCCGACTCTCCGCCCAGAACCACAAGGCCTTTAGGCCACATGGCAGTGGACCTTGTGGGCAGTGTGGGGAGGGCATTTCCCTCTCCCCTCCAGGCACAGCCATGGTGACCCCACCAGCATCAGGCAGGGCTCCTTCTAGAGTCAGGCCAGGGACCCCGGAGCTGCAGTTCCCCAGACACCAGAGCTCTGAGACACTCTTCCCCTCTCACCCCCAGCCTGGGGGCCAAACTTCCAGGGTGGGCACAGCCAGACAATGACGGGTTTCTGGGAAGTCCACAGCTGTTCTTTGGCTCCTTGTGTGGTTTGCCCAGAGAAGCGGAAAAGGGTGTGGACAGCCCTCCTCTCCAGCATTGGCAGCCTGGTCCCCAAATTCCATCTACTGGCTGGGGAGATAGCGGTCATCCTTGGCCAGACACCAAAACTTCATGGCCTCCCAAATTTTACTCGCAGCTCATTTGGCCAAAGAGAATGGGTGGGGGCAGGATGGATGGACCCAGCTGTGTTCCATCCCGCCCTGGGGAAGGCTCCCCAGCCTGCTGCTGATGCTGGCAGTGTTGGGAAGTTACCTTTATCAGCTGGCTATGAAAAAGGAGCAGAAAGCTGGGCTGAAATCAAGACCTCTGCCCCAGATGCGAACAGAGCACCCTAAGAACCCCCTCTCCTCCCCTCAGGGACCAGAGACCCCACTGAAGTACAGCTCCCTGCTTCCCCCATCACCCTCTCTTCCTGTTACCCACTCCATTCAAAAGTCTTTCCAGCCTCATTTTTGATGGGCGCATTGGCTTTGGGGGACAGGAGGTCCGTGCCACCATCCCACAACTCCATCTGCTCTCTCATCCACTCTGGAGTCCTAGCTGCAGGAATTAATACTTTCCACCTTCTCTCCCCTGCTGCCTGGAGGACCCCTACCTCTCCCAGTCTCCCCCACATTGCCCAGCTCAGAGGGACACTGCTTTACCTGTGGGCGCACCGCAGCTCCACTCGCAGCCTGCACACTGAGGGGCTCTGGCAAGCACAACAGGGTTGGTGGTGTGTTGGGGTGTTTTTTTGCTGCCTCGCAGTCCTGCAGCCAGCAGGCTTCGAATTACAACTACTCCTCTCTTAAAGCGACCTGCACTCAATTTGGGCTTCTTGATTGCATCATTGTCTGGTGTTAACTTTAACCCACTGCTGCCCTTCCAACACACACAGAGACACACACACCCTGACACACATTGTACCTCCAACCTTTAGGGCACTTGCCAGTGCTACCTACTGGGACAAGCTGATGGAGCCCAGAGGACTCCCTCGCCAGCCTCAGATGGGAGATGGGGCCACAGAGGAGGAGGCTGGGACCCAGGCTGATGGAGTGGTGAGAATGGCCTCCTGTTGGGACTGTTTTCTTCCTGGTCCTTGGCTTGAGCACTTACTGAGATTAGAGGCAAGGTAACCCTCTCGGCTCCTCCCCTCTGTCTCTGAAAAAAAGGAAGGTATGGGCCTGGGAGTCAGTGTGCTTTTTTCAATTCTAAGCTTTTGTGATTTCTGAAACTCCAGAAGAGCAGTGGGGAAAATATATGACCTGAGTAAGAAGCAAAACACGACCCCCACCCCCCACCTCAACTTCCAAGCCAGGGATTACCCAGAAAGGAGAGAATTTAGACCCTTCCCACCTTGGGGCATGATGAGGTTGTGAAGCTAAAACACCAGCATCAGAAAGAATTCAAGAATTTAGCTAAGGATTTCCTGAGTGGATATGAGTCTTAATAAGAGTTCTAGTCATTCAAGAAGGAATGGGGAGCGCTTAGAGTTAGCTTCTGGAAGAGAACATTTAGGGGGAGCTGACAGCTGTGTCTGTAATTCAAGTGTCCACATAGGAATGTTCAGGAAGCAGAGCTAGGGCTCCTGGTAGGACTTTCCAGGGGGAAGGGTTCAGCTTTGTCTAAACAAAGCCATGTCACCAGCCAGATTTCAGTCCCTTTCGGCCAAAAAATGACCACTACCTCGAAAGGCATCCTTTCTCCTTTCTCCACACCTATTCAATTGTATGCTGAGCAAATCATTTCAGAGGCTCAACTTTAATGAAGAAGAATGTGGCATCAGAATTGGAGGAAGGCTCATCAACAACCTGTGTTATGCAGATGATACAACATACAACCTTGCTCACTAAAACGGAGGAGGACTTGAGGTGTTTGTTGCAGAAGATCAAGAACTATCGCCTTCGCAACAATGAATGAATGGAAATCCAAAGCCTCTGTAAATTTTTACTGAAATTAATAATAAATTTTTAAAAATAGATATATAAAAAGAACTATACCTTCAATAATGATTGCATCTCAATATTAAGAAGACAAAAGTCCTCACCACCAAGTCCTCATCAATGGAAAGATAGATAGATGATAGAGTGAGTAAAGGTTGAAGTTGTCAATAATTTCATCTTACTTGGATCCACAGTCAGTGCCATTGGCACCAGAAGGCAAGAAATAAAAAAAAGATGTGTTGCATTGGGGAAATGCTGTAGGGGACTTCAAAGTACTGGGGAACAGTAATATCATTTTAAGTCTCAGGTTCACGTGATTCAAGCCATAGTAGTTTTCAATCACTTGCTATGCATCTAAGAGCTAGATAGTGGATAAGGAAAACAGAAGAATAATCTATATTTTTGAGTTGTGATATTGGAGAAAAATACTGAAGAACAAATAGGTATGTCTTGGAGAAAGTATGGCCAGAGTATGGCGACTTAGAGGCAAGCATGGTGAAGCTTAGTTACACGTATTTTGGGCATGTTATTAGGAGAGTCTATTCCTTGGGAAGGGACATCATGCTTGAAATTGTAAAGGATTGGCAAAAGAGGAAGACATTCAACAAGATGGATTGACAGAGTGACTGTGGCAGTGAACTCAAGTGTGTCAGAGATGATGACAGCGGCACAGGATAGGACGGGGTTCAGATCTGTTGTTCATAATATGTCATTTATATGTCCAGCTCAACTGAAGAGCACGTAACAACAACTTCAAAAGGCACTGTGATAATCATCATGGGGAAAGATGAATAAGGCTCAGTATATTTGCTTTCCAGGAGTTTATTAGCTAATCAGGGAAGGTGAGATGAGAACAGATCATTCTAACATAATTTGACACATTTTGTGACTCCCCACCTCAAGCCAGATCCAGTGCCACCAAATTTCTGAGACTATAAATCTTTTTTGGGGGGAGGAGGAGCCAGATAAAGGTTTGTTTTACTGAATGATTGATCTATATAACTGCGAAGGCCACTAGGTACGGGCAGGAGAGGAGCTTTATTTCTTGGTCTCTTCCTCTTTAGAAAGAGTCTTGATGATTTCTTGTTTCTTGGCCTGGAGTCGTACCTCACAGCGTTTTCATGCCTCCTTGGTCTTAGATCTATGGGCCTCAGCCAGGAGCTTCTTGTGGGCTTTATCTGCCTTCAGCTTGTGAATGTGTTCCATGAGAATTCGCTTGTTCCTGAACACATTCCCCTTTATTTTCAGGTACAGGCTGTGATTCATGTGGTAATCAATCTTCTTAGACTCTCGGTATCTTCTGAGCAGCCAGCACAAAATCCTCATCCACCTCATCCAGATCACCTTCTCAGGCATTTGAGCATTAGCAGTACTCTTTTGCTTACCTATGCCCATATGCCTGCCCTTCCTGTGGGCAAAGGTAATTTTTTTGGCATCGAGGCCAAGAATGGACAGTCACTGCACACCCATGGCTTTGGGTTTAATTAACATGGCTTTGGTCACAATAGCAAAGAGTTGGAAACAACCCAAGTGCCCATCAACAAACGCATGGATAGAGAAGCTGTGGTATATTCACACAATGGAATACTACGCTGCATTGAAAAACAAGGAACTCATGCA